CGCGGTGGTCGCGTGGCCTAATGGATAAGGCATCGCCCTCCGGTTTTACGCCAGGGATTCAGGCGGGGATTGTGGGTTCGAGTCCCATCGTGATCGACTGCAGGAACACTTTTGATGAAATCGTGGGCACACGCCAACAAGCGCAGACAGGGAGGAGAGAAGGCGAGGAAGATATGACGATGGGCTTTGGATGGGAAAGGAGAGGATAGGAAAGGGAGCTGTAAGCAAATGTGTAACGGTCGTCCGGGGTTTGCTCACGCAAGCAGGTTCATGAGGTGGCTTTCCTATCAGAGATAGATACACATGCCCAACTCACATGCACAGATGCAGAACATAAATGTGTGGTGTAGGGGGGTACAGCTTTGCCCACGGACAATAGCCGGGCAGTCCTACCTTTCCACATGTTTGGGGGAGAACTCATCCATCGCATGCATGCCGGCTCATGCAACGTCAGCGGCTTTTTGGTGTTGAGCACGCACCACCAAATTCCAGCGGAATCTGCGGGATCAACGGCAGCAGCGTCAACTCCACTCCCAATCGGTTCCGCAGGTCGCTATAACCAGGTCCATCGCTGTCCAACACCGGCATGGGGGTGCATCCTGCCTCTTACGGTCGAAAGAACTGGAATTCAACAGCCGCGTGTGAGGAACACAACACGCAGCGCACAAATGCAGCAGCTTTGCATGGCATGTACATTCGCATCTGAAGAGTGGTCCAAGGTCCGGCAATACAGCAGTACAGAGTAGTACATCAGCACATGTACACGGTGTGGGAGCTGGTGAATGTTAGGGGGCGGGTGAATCTTTCCCAACCTCACAAACACAGAGATACAATTGTTGGGGGGACGTTTTTGAGAGAGTGTGTGTATGTATGTGTGTGTGTGTGTATGGATTAGTTTTTGAGAGAGAGAGAGAGAGAGAGAGTGTGTGTGTGTTGGTGTGTGGATATACCGCCGGTGGTGCATGTGCTTGCATGTGCGTTTACGTATGTATGTATGCAAGGAATGATGGCAGGTGACCAGTACCGAACCAGCAACAGCCATGTATGTATATCGGAGTGAGGCCCCATCCATAACCATCGCCTCCTCATCAGCTGTGCGCCATAATAATATAAATAATAAGGAGAATCATCATCATCACCACCACCACCACCAGCACCACCACCACCAGCACGACAACCATCACCACCACCACGACAACCATGACCATCTGACGATGGTGAGTCAAATGAGAGTCATGCGGATGGTGCGGATTGCAGCAAGTCGGGGCCTCTCCTCTCCTCTCATCAGCAGCATCGAGCAAAAGCCTACAACGGCGGTATGCAAATCAACAAATTTGCGGCGCTTCCTTTCCCCCACTTTGGGGTAGAGGCGCTCAACACGCCAAAGGACATCCACTACACGCCCAAGACCGCCTGTACTTGGTACTCTTGAGCCTTCTGGCCAGCACCTACGAAAACAGGCATGCATGCAGCCCCAGTACTAGCACATGCAGCGAGCGGTGATGACCTCTCCCTGCCCGACACATGCATATGCACACACACATAGGGGGACG